CGCTGTAGCTGCTCCCCACGGTTTGAAGGTAAAAGGTGAGAAGGGCTGTGGGCGAAGACCTGCTCCTCCCTGCCCGGCTGTGTCAGGCCCACTGGGAGAAGAGGTGAGAGGGCAGGCGCTGCAGGGATGCTGTTGACACGCTGAGCCAGCCCAGCCCTCAGCAACACACACACGGGCACTCGGGCCCGGACGGGTTCACGTATGTACGCAAGCTGTACCTGATAGAGGCACGGGCATTTGAATTAAAATTTTGGATTTTTTTGTCACCTTAGGGGCTTTGGCCTGCGTGGTGATTGGTACCAAACTTTGCTTTAATTATCAAAACCAAACTCGCCGTCAAAACAACTCACACTGGACCTTTTTCACATTTCTTGATGTCCACTTTACAAACAAACCTGATAGTTTCATACTGTATTTACGTATAACAATACAGTTCACATACATGAGGCAGCATGAGTGACTTAAGGCAAACCCCTTCTTTAAAACAAAGCCTAGAGTAGAATTTGGATCCTTCTCTCCATGCGGAAAACAGCTGTACTGTTTCTTTTTCATGTTTGAAACTCCATTTAACAGCAGGCACAACATTAGAATACTTAATCCAATGATTCCTTGATATGCTTCCACATGGAGCCTACTAAATCACAATGAAAAAGCTTTCCTTGTGTCCTCAAACTCTGAGGAAGTAACATAACCATAGAGCACTTTAAAGCAAGGCATCCGTTCTCTGCTCCTAAAATTGATGTCCAAGTTACTGTCTAGAAAATATAGAACCTTAGGTAAAAAATACTAATCAATACCTTCCCTGCCTAAAACAGGAAGGAAAAAGGCTCAGATAAAATTACAAAACATTTCAGTTTTATTAAGAATAACTTACATACAAATAAATTATCTTTAAAAATACTATAATACATCTTTATATTAAGTTTAAATTAAGTCTTAAGAAGTCGCATTGGCCTTTCCTGTAATCAGCAATCTGATTCTGTTCTTGCATCTTCTTCCAGCTCATCTTCATCATCTTCACTGTCCGAGTCTTCATAAAAGGAAATTGTAGCTTGAACTGGAAAGTTTTTCAGAAGTGCTTCAGCTTCCTGATATAAGTAATCATAGCACCTCGATTTGGGCCAAAATAGTCTGAAACAAGTATACAATAGGTTTGCTTATTGTTATTACATATTCTACTTGGAGGCTGACAGACAAGAAAGAGCAGTGAAATTCTGTTAAGACAAGCATCTTACAGTTTTTCCTCACATGCTCAATTGCTAAACTGCTTTCTACATTTAAACAGAAAAATATTCTCTGGATTCTGTATTTTCATCTGAAGAGATAGAGATGCACTTAAGGTTCTAGTTTTGCAGCAAAACTACTCTAAAGCCCAAGATCCACTGCATCTGAAACTTACCACTCCAGTACATCATTGACAGTATTACCTGGGGATCCAATCCAAATAATACCGCCCTCACTGGAACTGTTCCTAGGGAATATAATGGGTGTCCACAGGATGCCCAATATATTTGTATTAAATTAGTAGTTTTGTTACTGAAGATCCCCAGCCTAGGTAGTTGTTTACAATGGCGTGAGATAAATCTCAAAGTGAAAGGAATGATAAAGGTCTAGGGGGATCAGACCTTGATATCTCACCCATCTTTCCAAGAAGAATCATGTAACAGACTCCTTACGGAAGATGCCCTGTGGGTCCAGATTTTAAAGTAGTCTGTGTTGTATCCAGAAGTTAATATAAAAATTGCTGATAATATTGTGGTTAGCAAGGGCTATCAGCTAGTGAGATAATATATTGCAATTAATATACTCCACAGTTCCTGTTCCTTTTCATCTAGCATCCTCTTTTGCTTACAGTTTGGAAATAGCTGGAAGAAAGAGACAATAGAAGTCCCAAGAGCTAAGAGACTAGCAGACTGCAACATAATTAAATGCTGAGTACAGATTGTTTATAATAGAAATACATTAAGAAACAGAACTACATGGTTTTCTAGCAGTTACAAAAAGTGCTTTCTAGGCTACTGTTTAACAGAACGCTGCTTCCTTTGCAGCACAAAGTAACTGACACTTGCTTTGTAACATCTCTCCATTCCCAGTGTTACCTGCAGCATTCACTCATGCCTAAGCACTGGAGCAGTCACCGTGAAGTCAGTGTCTGTGCAATTGCTTAGTCTGTGCATCAGTATTTGAAGGATCACTGCCTAGATTCGGGAGAAAGCTGCATCTTGTCTGGAAGAACTACCTGTGTAATTACTTCAAGCACCTTGCAACACCTACTAGTACTTCTGAATACAGACTCTCCTGCAGATTGAACTGTAGTTATTTCCCTTATTTCCTTTTCAGAACTGACAGTGCAGATACTAGCATTACTTTACCCATTAAAGCAGTAGTTACATCAGTATTTTTCTTGGCCTTGCTGGCTTAGTCAATCCATACCCTCTCCTCCTGCCGCTCTTTCCCACACCTGCACCTGCTTCCTTGCACCGAGAGGACCCTGGAGGTTTGCACAGCAAGACAGCCCAGGAACTACCTCCCCTCCTTTTTTAATCCTGGGCACAGGAACAAGTAGCAAGGTGCTTCAACCAACTCTGCCACCACAAAAAAAAACCCACATAACTGTAACATGTCTAAGTCCCACACCACTGAAGCATGTCAACATCTCATCTTAAAGATCTGATAAATCCACGAGTGCTGGCAATCATTTGCCCAAGGACCTGTCAGTTCAAAAGCACTTAGTGGCTACATCACTCCGAAGGCACTTTATTATCTACATAAATATATGGGTGGGATCAAAAGGGGTGGGGGAGCCAGTGCTTGGCCAGCCCGGCACTACACTGCCGAGCAGGGGACTCTGCCCTCCCGGCCGCGCAGCACCGCGGGCCCCGGCAGCGAGGGGACCGGGT